CACCGTCATGAGTTTTGACCTAAGTGGCTTATACAGCTCATGGTGCTACAGCGTGATTTACGAAAAAGAAGTGCGACGCTCGATCAACGCGCAGTAGTAGACTCATTCAACCCTGGTTGCATATGTTGTGATGACATTTGGTACTTGAGCTATGTAATTTTGACCTTACTCCGACGTGTTTTCGTCCTATGCAAAAAACAAGTTTGGAGTTAACGTGTTGGGTGTGATTTTGAAAATAATACAGTACTCGATGCACCACATCTGTACGATGGACCTTTTCCTTTTTACTTCCTTTTATTGGATACACAATGATACAGTTTTCGGGAAGGTGGAAGCGGCCATTCAAAGGGTTGCCATAGAACACACAGAGAATGGGGAAAGTCAGGCGGTTGTGGTGCGATTCGAACACTCGTCCTCTGAGGTGATAATTTGTTGACGGGCCACCAGGCCACCACCGCCCGATTTTGAGGGTTTCGGCGCACATGCTTGATGTTGTAGCCTCAAACGTCTGAATTTTTACAGGTGAGCGTCGAGGGTGCATGGTTGAGTATTGTGTGGAAGCAGTTCATTACGATGCCAGCCCACGAGTTGAGGGAACTGCACATATTTTACGCTTCCGGTCTGCAATCTGGGCGCATTCGCCTCACAACCGGGACCTTTATCAAGTGAAAGAGGAAGATAGGTGTCACACGGCAAATCAAGCGTGGTTTATTCGACCTGTAACAGTGTGTACAGCTTACAACCGGTAAACCAAATACGTGCTACATCGCGCAAACTATCAATGCACGCACTCAAGCGTGACCGTATTATGGGCTCCACGGTAGAATAAAAGTTACGTCAGGTAAGCGTACTTTAGTTGTGTCGCCGTGTCACGATGTAGTTTGATACGAAGGATCGGTTGGTTCTCAGGACTCTGGTCGTCGCGATTCACAACCTCGATTGTTACCATTATTGTTGTACTCGTATGTTGTTATTCCTAGCCCGACGGCTCGTTGCCTATACAGTTCCGGTGTGCAGTTTTTGCTTCATTCGACAGCTGACAACGTGGAAAAATTGATTAAGGATACTACAGATGGCACGAAATATCCTTTTCAAGACCTGGGAGTGATGAATCCAGAAATGAGTCAAAATGATCGATTGGTCGTTCCGGGGTCTATGATTATTCCGGTTAATCTACAGTGCTAAAATATGTATAAGCATTGTAGTAAAAATAGAATAGCCGAATGCGTTACGACTTTAGTTGTCTGCTGAGACTGTAAAATTATACTGACAAAGGTGAATTCAGTGCTAAAGAGTTCACAAAACTCCATTNAACTCCATTGATCCACATACACATATAACACCGTGTACAAAACCGTGTGCTCACTACGTTGAAGGAATTGAGTCATACAGGATATACAATTGTACAACCATTGCAAACACGAAGGTGGAGTCGATGACTTTATCGCGTTGCTAAAGGTTATTCGATTGCATAAAATTGTCCGATAATAAATGTAATCAAACCATCGTTAATCTCTCCCTCCTGTCNAGCGTATTAGGGTTGTTTCGATCGTTCGTCCTAGTCTCGAGGATTATTGTGACCTTGACAGGAAGCACTTTGGGTTTCATAAACTAAACGTTCCCGAGCTTGTTCTGTCAGAAAATCGAGTCGTACAACGACAAATCAATAATCTTGACACCAACCTATGTATGTGTAAGCCGATCCGTACGTCTGTAATTGTTCCGTATTGTAACAAGCCGCTTCACATCCTGTTCGTACATACTACACGCAGAGATAACCAAACGATTGATTTTCAATGAGTTATTTATAGTTCGAAAGGATAACACATACATTAAACCCTCAAAGGCAAGATAAGTTCTGATAGCTGTAAAAAAGTTGTTTACTTGTGTGCCTTCAACTCCGAAGTATGGTTGCAGTCTATCAGACCATTTTTAGCAGTTTATTCTTTTTCATGACCTTATTCAACATTAGTGTGACTTGCTTTTTCAGCTGTTCTATTTGATGGTCAAACACAATCCACAGATCATTCGATAAAACCAATAGCTTTGACCATGTACGTTGCAATATATCATTATTACTTTGTAAATAAAAGAAGCAAACGTGTGTAAAAGAGAACAGTTCTGTAAAAAAGGAAGCTATTCCAGCCAAACAGCTACAGATGTTGTCTGACGAGTGTAATAAGCAATGAATTTGGGAGGTGGGAGAGAAGCACAAACGACTCAAATTTGGGGGAGGGGGTCAACGATTGTCATAGAAGAAGTGGATGCGAATTCTGTCCCATTCTAGAACAATCGAAACAGGTGAGTATGTGCTTAATAACACCTGTGACTGACGTTTTATGATCTCCCAGTTTTCACATGCGTTTGATCATCTCGGTGAAAAGATCTTGCAATGTGGTCGCTCGTTTTGCTGCCGTCTCAAGTACTTCCTCATGATTGGCCGTGGTAGTCGCATCCGAGTCCAGAACGACCAAATTGGTGACCAAGGAGACTGCAAACACTCGAATTCCACAGTGACGTGCCACAATCACTTCCGGTACAGTGCTCATACCTACAAAGTAGTGACAGAGATATTACTGTCAGCGAACATAATCTGAAATCTAATTCATCGAAATTTGTGCTAACGTTCATGGATTCGTATATGGTGGGACATCATAATGCAATCAGTTTGGTGTGGCATACACTTTATCCACAATTACACACCATCCGTCTAAAGTTATCACTAATACTCTAAGCCTAACTCGAATGATGTTCACCCGGTTGCGTTCTCTTAATGAGCACAATTCATGGTCAACCTCTGACAGGCTGGACTTCACTTTTTCCCCGTGTGCGATACAGAAACACGGGATAACTAGTCACAGTATTTATTTGGGTATGAGGGAACCGAGATGTGGTTTTTGTGACCTCGATAAACACCGATAATGGTGATGTTTGCACGAATACTGATCACGTGAAAACCTTAATCTAAAAGTGAAAATGATTAAGGAAGTAACGCCACTTATTCAACTCCGTGTCGGATAAAGTAACCTGACATCAATTAAAACAATTAATACTTTCTGTAAACCTTACCGTTAAAATCCAGACAAAGAAGAGGTCATGCTGTGAACCCACAAGAAATCAGAGGGTCATTCGAAACGGTGTGAAGAGTGTCCTTGGAACCAAATGAAGGATCAAGAACCGAGGTAGGTGAACAGACAGAAGCAGAGTAGTGGTAAAGATTGTAGTAGTAGTAGTAGTAGTACGCACGGAATTTGGAATGCAAACCACGCAATAGGAATCACAGAACACGAATCAATAATCAGCTATCACGGACTGGACCACAGAAGCGCTGGACCACAATGGCACGGGTTCGCAATGTCTCACGAGAACGAGACGCGAGGAAAAGGCCACAGTAATGGTAGTACGCAGTTCGTTTATTGAAAGAAACGAGGGCGATTAAATAATATGTACAAAGGGAGATTATTGGTTGTCTAAGCTCCCACCAATCTGATTGCAATACTTCTTGCATAATCTTGCTTCTTTCTGCACTGTCTAGGATTGGCTGGCACCATCCATCAATGGCGTGTATTCAGAAGCCATGCTCGTGTCATTGACGTCGGCATTCAAACTTGATTGATCGCAAACGTCCTGAAACTGTAACGCGCCGCTCCAGGGTAGGCGCCATCGGGTAGGTCTGGATCACCACATAGGACGCTTCAAAGTCTCTCGGTTCCTCACCACTCCTATCCTTATCGATCACAACAGACACGGATCGAACATGCCTTGGTGAAGCTACTAACAGTATTGCTGAAGACTCACGACCCAAGTTCTTTCAATCAATTAGCTGATCGGGATCGCTCTGTGCACGACTTTGACGGACAGTCAGAGGCGAGTGGAGCGAATTCGGTAGCATTGCAATAGAGCATGCATGTACACACTGACTTCTTCTCGAGCCCATTGCCGTAGTTATTTAATCCACTCGCCGAACCACCAATCGGATTCCACTGTTCGTCCTTATGAGACAGCTTGCGGTCACGAATTCTGCGTGCGGTAGAGGTAACTCGAGCATAAATGTTTGAGAAGAGTTTACAACGGAGTAGGATGTAGTATGAACATCCATTTGTTAAATATCTCGGACGATGGGCAATCATGAGGACAAGCACATTAGGCTAGGCAGAACAAAGAGCCGTACATTCGAAGTTGTGAATTAAAGAGTCAGTAAAACAGATTCACAGATACCGAGAACATAAACAAAAATGTAGCACTTGAGACGAATGGTATATTTGTTACGATATGAGAGAAAAATTAAAAGAATTAAAGTTGTGTCCTGAATAAAGACTGTAGTAAACACGCAGCAAAACAAACGTCCACAATAAATGATGCGATCGAAAAACGAGAAAACTCAGTTTTCCCATTTCGATCGTTTAACTAACTCACTACGACGGTCAGTTTTCATATATCAAATCACTTTAAAGGGGTATCAATGGGGTTAATCTTTCACTGGAATTCATCCAACTTATGTATGCTTGTTGCGCAAATGAAACATAAGGTGGCAGAACGGAGTAAAATAAACAAAAATTATAATTTAAAAACAAATATTCACTTACTGTTATGAACTCCTCCGGACTGGAGCTCAGCTGTTGTTTCATATAGTACTACATAGTCCCGTGATGGAATCCATTACGATATGACTCCGGAGTATCCCACAAAACTAGTGTTCATATAAATGAAGGAGTGTCGTATGTTACTTAGCTGAGCAATTCTCCACGGTACCTAGTACCATCGTTGATCATCGAATGTAATCGTTTTGCCTGTAATACGAAAAGTACTACTACTACTACAACCCATGCATCCCGTCAATGTGTTTTTTGTCTCCACTTGCGATGAAATTTCATCCGATTTACCTAAACTTTCTCTTTTTGGGATGACCGCGAAAAGTCAAGTTGCACATGCAGCTGTCTATTTACATTGCATTATCTCCTTAGGAAAGTTTAAGATTAGTGCCTCTGTGCAGAAGCATTCCTCGACTCACCCTATTGTTTCGAATTGAACTTTTGTGTATCGTACCATTTGGCTGGATCCTGGGTGCATTGGAGGACCATTGACAATGGAAGTGGTCTCACGGGACACAACGCACTGCCTCCTGAGTTTGCATCTCCACTTTTAGACCAAGTCTACTCACACGCACTAAGATCTTACGATTGATGCCTTTTGTTGGTATTCAGTCAATGACTAAGGGGCTTTAATGACACAGTACTGCTCAAGAGAATCGCGCGTCTTCGTGACCAGTGACCTAAAAGAGGTACAACCGTAGCAAGATCGTTCAGTTAAAGCACAGTTT